TCAGGTCCCTTCCGACCCTAGAAACTATGAAACAATGAAAATAGCAAGGGGTATATCTATTGTCACAGGGACCTTTGCCTTGTTACTGGAAAGTGGTGTGGTCCATTTAAGGAGAGGACCTTTGTAGCAACCACCAAAGTAGAGGTTAATGAAGGACCCTATGGGCAAGTCAGCTGACAAGGAAGCCACCTGACCTGCAGGGTCAATAGGCAATATAAGAGTCCAGAGCTGGAGAGGGTGCTATCAGAAAGACTGGTTGGGTGCTGTTCACCTTGAAGGCTATAAGCTACCAGGGACGGAGCCTGGTACATAAAGGAGCAGAATGGAGCAATTGCCTGCAACAAAAATATGCAACCTGAAGAGTAGGACTTGTGTTAGCCAGTTGGCTAACCAGTGATTTATTTATTTATTTATTTAAGAAGTCCAATTAGTGCCTAAGGGGCACGTGACTACCTTGAGCTCTGCCAAGGGCAGCTAGGGGCCTGGGAGCAAGGCCAGAGCCCATAGAGGGGCAGAACTTGGGGCCAGAAGAACCAGAGCAAGGTGGAGACAGGGCCAGGGGACAGACAGAGAGAGTTTGGGGAGGTTTAGTGCCAGAGGAGGGTGGAGACCCCCAAAGAGCCTGGATTGGTATGGCTGGGACCAAGGAGCTTGGCCCAGTGTGGTGGGCCTAGGCAGCAAGAGACCAGCTACAGCATAGAGGTAAAGCCAGGAAAACTGCAGTCTCAACACGGGAGTAAAAGTCTGAAGTGGCCTGGTGGCTTTGCGAACAAGTGTCCCACTGGATGTGATATTGCTTTGCGAACAAGTGTCCCACTGGATGTGGTAAGTGAGACATGGGCCTGACTGTGGGGGCAGCTGGTGGTCATGACTTAAACCCTTAAGGCAAGCCAGGCCAGGAGAGTTGTTCATGGGAGAAGAGAGAAAGCACCACAGGCACCACCCATGACAGCTCATCAAGACTCCCTATGTGGCCCTTGGGCCCAAATAATTGCCTATCCCTGGCCTAGCAGGGATGAGGCAGCCTGTAGGGGGCATCACAATGGTCCTCAGGTGCATAACCTGTTACATCTATAATGGACACTGTGTTTTGTACCAGATCATACATATAGTTTGCTGTGTTCTTAGTGTTGTCATAGGATAAATCATTTATTAGCTTGCTTTGGTGAATGATATACAAGCATAGCAGAAAAATTGCCAGTGTAAATTGGCTTTCCTCACTCACCTTGGTACACTTGCACCATCTAGATATCTGCTCTTATGTATCTTTATGCCACAATGGTCCCATGAGAAATTTAAGGGAGACTGTTCATCCTATCTACCCTGCTGCATCTGCAATTGCATACCAGACAACCTGAGGAAACTGTCACAAGCAATTGTGGCATTGCCAGTGAATTTGGTCTATGATTCAAATCCTACTAAAGGGGCCAGCACTGAGGCATGCCTACTTTTTTCCAATGCAAAGAAGTAGCTGGCTCCCAGTACTGAAGCTGAGGATTTCTTCTTCTCTTCACCCCATTCTCTCATTGTATCTTTTTCAAGGCTAAGCTCCTTTACCTGGGTTTTGCTGAGTTTTTCATGAATGCACTTTCAACTCATGGTCCTATCCTAAAACCCAAGCTTTTCTCAAACTTGCAATAAACAATTTTTCCCTTTCCTCTCCCACCTCCTCTCATCTGATCCTGTCAGCAGTCTCTCTTCTATAGCAAGAAAAGAGGGAGTAAACCTGAGTTCTCGTAAGGACCTGTGTGCGGTATGAAATGGGGCCTACGAAATACATGATTGCCAATTACATGATTTCCATGAAATCTCCCTTGAAATAGCTCGTTCTCCATGAAAAAGCACAGGGAACCAGCTATGTTAAAAAAGCCAGCAAAGAGCTGGCAAAAACGTTGTCTCCTAGAAGGGCAGGGGGAAGCGGATGGGAGGAAAGAGGGAAGAAAAAAAAAGGCAGGCTGCCCATCTCCTGAAGTGGGGGCAGGACGACAGCTGGAGCTGGGTATGGAACTGTTTATTTGCTACACTTAAACTGTTTGTGTACTCAGCAAAAATCATCCTCTGTCCCTTGAAGAGGGTGATAATTACTGAATTAACAAGCCAGGCAGCTCCAGCTAGGGCTTTCAATCAATGCCTGGGAGTGGTGAGTCTTGTAGCACCCCTCAGCCAGTCAGAAGCATGGGGGACACCAGTTTGCTCCACCTTCAAAATGGGTGCCCCAGCTGTGATACAGCCCTGAAACCGATGGCCCTGGCTGTGTTACAGCCATGTAATTCCGAGGCCCGGGAATTTGATAGGTCCCTATGTATGAAATAAAAATGGGATCTGAGCTGAGACTATTCACTTATATGGACTATCAAACAGACATGAGGTGGAATTGGTTATGGTTTTGTCCAGAAATCATAGCTGACTTAATGGGGCAGGATCTGAACCATTTGCAAGTCTTGGTACCTTACTGCTATACCCTTCAATTCTCTCCAAGCAGCTAATTGAAAATGTAGGTAGGTAAGTAGTACTCATTTGTCCTAAATTTGTAATATAATATACTTTCACAAGAGTCATGCAGTCTTTGAAAACAGATCCTTTTTTATATGAAATTCTGTGTGCTGTAACTGCTTGGTAATGTATTGGAAACCTTTGCACAGAAAAAGCTGCTAATGAATACATTTCAAAATCCTCATTGTGTTTTACCTCGTAGAGGCTATGATGTTTTCAGCTGCTGTTAATTATAGTTCAGTTTGAATGAGACGGAGTGCTTTCTTCATGTTCTCTATCACTGGAAGAAGAAGAATATCTATTGTAAAATATTTTAAGTACACTTCTAACCTAAAATAAGATCCAAATAAACCTCAATTTATTACTAATCTGGTTTGTATGAATATTACTTAATGCAATGTTATTAATTATATGTGAGTCCCATTCATTGTGAGATTTCTGGTGTCATTTACTGAAACAGATTATGTAAATTTTTCTTGGATTGTGATTGGTAATTTAAAAGAACTTTGAAAAGCACCACTTCACCTGCTTTTGGCCCTTCCTCTCTTAAAACTGTTTCTCAACAACTTGTAATCAAGAACCAAGTTAAAAATCTGTGCTTCTCAATTCATCAAACATCACATTTAGAGTGGGAAAAATCTCCACTGTCAAAGGTTATAACATAATAGGGACGGAAGGTCAATTTGAAAAGTCACATTTCTGGGCACGGAGAGACTATTGCTTTCTTACTGTTTTAAAGGGGAAGATGGGACTTGCCATTAGTAAATAGATCTCAGCTGATCTGCTTTAATTGTTTTGCCAATCCTGCAGTGAGTAAATCTAATCTCTGGATAAAGCAGTGGTAAATTATTGTGACTTAGCTTTCACTTAATGCAGGATAAAGCAGACAGAAAAAACAGTTAATGAATATTCATCAGAACCATGGTAAATCCCTCCTGCCTTCCCCTGGCCTTTTTAAAGAGGCATAGTTGTTGTATCTGTCCATGTGTAAACATGTGAATCTTAATATCTCAGGAACTATGAATGAAAAGTTGGAAGACAAAAAATAGTTCTCTCTCTCTCTTCTCCCACCCCCACTCCCTAAGGTAGTTAGCTCTGTGTATGGGAAGTCCGTTGTTTAGTAGTTTTTACTTTTCCTCTGTATAATCATCTAAAGCCTAATCCTGTGGTTTCTCATGTGCATGCTTAACTGGTCCCAAATGAATGGGGTAAATTATGTGCTTACATGCTTTGTTATATCAGAACAGTGTTTGACATTTTGCTAGGGCAAGTGCCTAAACTGTAGTTTCTTGTAGCCCTTTATAAACACTTTAAATGGTTTGGGGTAGGAATATGAAGGGCAATGAAGCCCTATCTGATCCTAGAGCATAAACTACTGGGATGGATTAAAATGAGTGACAATGTGAAATGCAAAGTCACACAAAATGAGGACACATACAGAATGGTATGTCTTGAGGTTCATACGTGTAGAGTCGATTAGAGTATCTTCCAGTGATATCAGCTCTTACTGTGAGAGATGGGTCTGAAAAAATAACCACATTAAACCAATTATTCTAATTCATTCTTGGAAACAGCATCTTCAATAAGTATTGCTTGTGACCTAGGAGACCAAGTCAACTTAACATTTTTGAGGTATTCTAATTTAGAGAATGACATAATTATTCCCCCCACACAAGTTCTTATTCTTACATTAAAATATACCAAACAATGAATGGTCAATGCTTATTATTTTCATTAAACCCTTGCTATTAAAAATAGTATATTTTATATTCACTTGCCTGCATATACTAGGCCTTGTTTAAAGGAAAATATCCAGAGATATACGGACTGAGACTATCTCAAGAGTGAGGCCATTCTGATTAAATATAGATACAGTACTACAATTATGAAGACATTTAGTAAGATATTAGTATAATGTACCTGAAGCTTCTAGAGATAAAACTCATTTACTACTTTGATTCTCCAACCTTTTCCTTGATTCCTCTCTCTCTCTTTCCAACATTTTTATTTATGTAATTTGGGTACTTGTGTGATGTCCATTACTGTAGCATCTGCAAGATTCAAATGGTAACCTTGGGGTTATGCCAGATGAGAGAGCCAATATTTTTAAAA